GGGCTCAGAAAGTGGTTCTTTCTCACGAGAGCCATATGCTTGAAGCAAAATCTTTAATGGGATCCAAGAAAAGGACTTGGTAGTAGATCATAATTAGTTCACAAGAAATTTGTTGGATAACATTATTTAGTCAGAAGAATAAATTGCTTAAAATAATTATCAACATTTTTTTCATGAATAGGTAACTTGGGTGCTCAGTCTGATGTTTAGCTTTTAGATCTTTTTGTCAATATTTTCTGTACTTTCCTCTCTTAAATTTTCAATTTCTATTTTCACTAATTATTATTATACCTTTTTGTAATAGTAAAAAATCGCCAACACACATACACACAGTAAAATAAAACTAATATTCAACAATAGATGATAGGTTAAATGTTCTCAAACACTTCATGTGGCATCATACAATTTCAAATATGGTATAGGCATACTTGTTTTATTGTGTTTTACTTTATTATGGTTTGTAAATATTGTATATATATATATTTTTTTTTTACAAAGTGAAGGTTTGTGGTAACCCTGTGCCCAGCAAGCCTGTTGGCACCATTTTTCCAATAGCATTTGCTTACTCTGCGTCTTTGTGTCACGTTTTGGTAATTCTTTCAATAATTCAAACTTTTTCATCATTATTATATTTGTTATGGTGGTCTGTGATCAGTGGCCTTTGATGTTACTTTTGTAATTGTTTGGGGGTACCATGAGCCACACCCATATAAAAGAGAGAAATTAATCGATAAATATTGTGTGTGTTCTGACTGCTCCACCAACTAGCCTTTCCCATTTCTTACCCTCTCCTTGGGCCTCCCTATTCTCAGAGACACAACCATATTGGAATTAGGACAATTAATAACCCTGCAGTGGCCTCTAAGTGTTCACGTGAAAGGAAGAGTGCATGTCTCTCACTTTAAATCAAAAGCTAGAAATTATTAACCTTAGTGAAGAAGGCATGTTGAAAGCTGAGATAGGCTGAAAGGTATGCGTCTTGTGCCAAATAGTTAGCCAAGTTGTGAATGTAAAGGAAAAGTTCTTGAAGGAAATTAAAAGAGCTACTCCAGTGAACACATGAATGATAAGAGCACAAAACAGTCTCATTGCTGATATGGAGAAAGTTTGAGTGGCCTGGAGAGAAGATCAAACCAGCCACAACATTCCCTTAAGCCAAACCTAATCCAGAGCAAGGCCCTGACTCTCCTTAATTCTATGAGGACTGAGAGAAGTGAGGATGCTATTTTCAAAAGAAAAGTTTGAAGCCAGCAGAGGTTCGTTCATGAGATTTGAGGAAAGAAGCCATCTCCATCACATAGAAGTACAAAGTGAAGCAACAAGTGATGATGTAGTAGCTTCAGCAAACTATGCAGAGGATCTAGCTAAGATAACTAATGAAGGTGGCTACACCAAACAGCTGATTTTCTTTTTTTTTTTAATTTTTTTTTCAACGTTTATTTATTTTTGGGACAGAGAGAGACAGAGCATGAATGGGCGAGGGGCAGAGAGAGAGGGAGACACAGAATTGGAAACAGGCTCCAGGCTCTGAGCCATCAGCCCAGAGCCCGACGCGGGGCTCGAACTCACGGACCGTGAGATCATGACCTGGTTGAAGTCGGACGCTTAACCGACTGCGCCACCCAGGCGCCCCAAACAGCTGATTTTCAATGCAGACAAAACAGCCTTAATTGGAAGATGCCATCTAGGGCTTTCATAGCTAGAGAGAAGAAGTCAACGCTTGGCCTCAAAGCTTCAAAAGACAGGCTTACCTTCTTGTCAAGGGTTAATGCAACTGGTAACTTTGACTTGAACCTAATATTCACTTCCATTCAAAAAATCTTAGGGTTCTTAAGAATGATGCTGTATCTACTCTGCCTGTGTTCTATAAGTGCAACAACAAAGCCAGGATGACAGCACATCTGTTTACAACATGGCTTACTGAATATTTTAAGCCCACTGTTGAGACCTATTGCTCAGAAAAAAGATTCCTTTCAAAATATTACTGCTCATTGGCAATGCACCTGGTCACCCAAGAGCTCTGATGGAGATGTAAAAGAAGATTAATATTATTTTAATGACTGCTAACACAACATCCATTTTGCAGCCCATGGATCAAGGAGTAATTTCAGTTTTCAAGTCTTATTATTTAAGAAATACATTTCATGAGGTTATAGCTGCCACAGACAGTGTGATTCCTCTGATGGATTTGGGCAAAGTAAGTTGAAAACTTTCTGGAAAGGATTCATCATTCTATAGATATTTTTTAATGTTTATTTATTTTTGAGAGACAGAGTGTGAGCAGGGGAGGGACAGAGAGAGAGGGGGACACAGAATCTGAAGCAGGCCCCAGGCTCTGAGTGGTCAGCACAGAGCCCCTTGTGGGGCTTGAGACCACAAATTGTGAGATCATGACCTGAGCCGAAGTTGGATGCTTAACTGACTGAGCCACCCAGGCACGTCAAAGAGTCATCATTCTAGAGGCTTTTAAGAATATTCATGATTCATGGGAAGAGGTTAAAATACAATATTAACAGGAATTTGGAAGAAGTTGACTCCAACCCTCACTGATAACTCAGAGGGGTTCAAGACTTCTTCAGTGGAGGAGATAAATATAGATGTGGAAATAGCAAGAGAACGAGAATTAGAAGTGAAGCCTGAAGATGTGACTGAATTGCTACAATTTCATGATAAAAGTTTAATGAATGAGGAATTGCTTCTATGGATGAGCAAAGAAGCAGTTTCTTGAGATGAAATCTACTCCTGGTGAAGATGCCATGACAATTGTTGAAATGACAACAAGGATGTGAATTATTACATAAACTTGCTTGATAAAGTAGCAGCAGGATTTGAAAGCATTGACTCCAATTTTGAAAGAAGTTCTACTGTGGGTAAAATGCTCTCAAGCAGCATCACATCATGTGCTAGAAACAAAATGTTAATGAAAGGAAGAGTCAACTGCTTCAGCAAACTTCATTGTTGTCTTAAAAAATTGCACAGCCACCCGACCATCAAGCAACCAACCATCCTGATCAGTCAGCAGCCATCAACTTCGAGGCATGACCCCCTGATCAGCAAAAACATTATGACTTCTTGAAAGCTCACTTGCTGGTTAGCATTTTTTAACAATATAGTATTTTAAAAAATTAAGATATGTACATTATTTTAGACATAATGCTATTGTACACTTAATAGGCTACCATATAGTATAAATAAACATAACTTTTATACCCACTGGTCATATCCTTTGGTTTTGGGAAACCAAAAAAAATTTATTTGACTTAACTTTATTGTGATATTCACTCTATTGCAATATTCGCTTTATTGCACAGTCTGGAACCAAATGCACAATATCTCTGAGGTATGCCTGTACATATGTGTATATTATGTATATGTATAAGCAAAGAAATGGTATATATATAATGATGGTTGTCTTTAAGTAGGTTGGATTATGGCAGGGGTTCTAATGTACTTATTTTTGCTTGCCTACAATTTGTTACTTTTTTCTGAAGTATCTAATTTCATTTAAAGATGGGAAACCAATAAAAACACACAAAAAAGACAAATACTAAAATTTTTCAGACTTGGGTTTTCAGATTTTTTCTTTAATTAATTAACTAACTTACTTTTGAGAGAGAGAGAGAGAGAGAGAGAGAGAGAGAGAGAGCAAGCATGAGGTGGGGAGGGGCTGAAGGAGAGGAAGAGAGGCAATCTTAAGCAGACTCCATGCCCAGTGTGGAGCCCCATACAGGGCTCGATTTCATGATTGTGAGATCATGACTTGAGCCGAAACAGAGTTGGACAGGTTTGCAGGAGGAACCTGGAAGTTAAGATGTTAGACTGCCAACATGAATGCCCAATTGAAAGCAGAGGTAAATAATTGCTTCTTGGATGGTTAACTGACTGAGCCACCCAGGTGCCCCTTTTCTCTTTAATTTATAAAGTTTACGTTAGTCCTTAGTTAAGTTACTTAGTTAAGTATGTCTCTTCAGCTATTAGGTTTGTTCTGTGTGCTCCTTTTATACCACTTCATATCCTTTATATGAAAAGTTATCAAATCATGACACAGTGAAGGGAAACAATCATTTTTAACCAATTTTTACTCTCAATCTGTTAAAAACTTTTCCAAACAATTATAGCAGGCATAGCTCCAAATGTTGATTATTTAGGTTTTTTCAAATGAATACATTTTTTGAACATTTAGTTTCCCTTGTATTCTGGAGACAGAGATGTGAGTGGGTGGAGGAAACAGCAAAAAACAAACAAAAAAGAGATAAGAAAGAAAACAAAGTAGTATAAACCTGATCTGTGGCACTTCAAAAACCAAAATGATGCATGAAAAAAATGGAAAAAATTTTGAGGGATCACTTTGCAGCCAATTGGTCTCCAAAGTTGTTTTAAATTATATTCTTTCCTGTAAGGTAACTAAGAACTATTCTACGGCCCGAGAGCATGAGTGAAAAATCACACAGCAAATTAACTTAGAATGGATCTTCAATGGAAAGTCAAGAGGTCAAGGACAATGATATTGTAGAGGTCAATGTGAAGCAATTAGAGATCAAAGCAGGGGATACTTTTAAGTTGAAAGTTTGGGTCAATCATTAATGTTAGAAGCATCCAAAAGACAGTGCTGGCCTTTCTCCAAGACAGCATCCCAGCTTGCCCCACAGGGGGTGGGTCACTTCAGAGTTGCACTGGCCTTGTCTCCATGTAGGCAGTAACTGTCGTTGGTAGCATCAAGCTTGCAGAGAAGTAGATATCACTATACATGACAGAACAGCAGTTAAACTTTGTACTTTCAGCCTGTTTCAGAGTCTCAAATCCTGAATACACATGAAATTGTACACATGCAGCCCATTTAAATGGGATATTGTCTTCAAAGTAGAACCATGCTCTGTGTGATCCTATTGCCTTCAGACAATCCCCGTCACTCATGGGATAATATTTTGTGAGTAAGCAAGGAGGTGACTTCACTTCCAGTCATAATCGACCTTCAGGGTGGTGCCCTTGTGCTCTGACAGGTTTGCAAGAAGAACCTGAGTCAGGATGCCAGACTGCCAACATGGATGCCCAGTTGAAAGCAGAGGTAAATAATTGCTTCTTTGAGGTGATTTCAAGGTTCCCCAACAGAACTGTGTATTTATCAAACCTCTATTTCATAGTATCCGTTTGTTTGTAGCCAAACAGACAAAAATACCTACAAGTCTGAGCTGATTTGAAATGACACGCATGGGAAGTCCCAGCTGATTTGTACCAAGTTACGTTTTCATACATCCCTGAGGGCAAACTCTATGACACCTCTCACTGAAATGTTCCAGCCTGCCCCATAGAGGGGAGTACTGTTATTTCAATTTGCATATTACACATAAACAAAAGGAATTACCTCAATAGCAACTTACTTAAAGAACTGCCTTAGAAACCCGAAGCACTTTAAGAAAGCTAAATCAGAGCAATATGGATTTTCCCTCCTAATGTAGGGAAAAAAAAACAAACCAGAAAGAAAACAGCAGGGGCTGAAATATGTGACAAACAATTTGGAAACAGTTGTGCTGATTGCAATAGTCTCCCAATAATATACTGCTTGTATTCTCTTCTCAGTATGATTCCTTGACTCCAGGAACTACTGAAAAGATACAAAACATTTTCTTATGGCAAGCTGCTTTTACTGTGATCAATTACCTTCCTCCTGTATGCTGTGCTGTAGTTGAGAGTCACATGATTAATGTCTAACTCAGGGGGTCTGAGGTATATTTGGTCGCTTTTTCTTTTCAAAAACCATCTTAGAGTTGAAAAGTGTAGAAAAGGAATTCCAAGTATCAATAGAAAATGATTAATTTTCTGGCAGGTATCGACCATACTGAAAAGAAAATTAACTATAGAATCATGTAGAATTTGTGCAATGTTCTGTAATTCTAATATGTTTGAAGCCCTGGCAACCAGTTTTCAGAATATATATCAAAACTTCTCAAATTTTGCAGTTAAATCTTTTTTTTTTCTTTTTTTGATCACATCTAATGACCACTAAATCTTTCACAAATATTTATTAAGTGCTACCAGGTAGTATTAAGTAGTAGTAGTAACCCTAATTTTTTTGGTGATTTACGAATTTTTTACATTTAAAAATATCATCTGGTATTTGTTTTCACATAAGTCATGATGGTGGAGTTAAAACATACTTTCTATTTTGTCTTTTTCTAATTGGCCAGCTAACTGGCCCCACTTCATCTCCTTTCTCGTTTTTCACTAAACTGTGATGCTAGTGTAAACATATAACACACATGCATGCATGCCCACTGACACACAGCTATTTATTTCTGGGTGTTCTATTTTATTCATTTGACCTGTCTATTCCTGTACTGCTGCCACCCTGCAATAATTATAGTAATTGTATCATTCTATTATTCTTTTTTTTCAGAATTGCTTTAGACATTATTGTAACTCTCTTATTCTTCCATATGAAATGTTAATAATTTTGTCCAATTTTAGAAAAACAGTGGTCCTATTATTTTGGATAATTGCATTACATTTTAAAATTTATTTGTGGAGAAGTAGCATTTTTAGTATTGAGCTTGCCTATGCAAGAATATAGTATATCTCTCCCCTATTAAAATTTTATATTTCCTTTCCTACAGGTTCTGAGCAGTACCTGTGTGTGTGTTTTCAGTTGCCCACCTGCTCCAGAGCAACAATCAGTTGCTTGAATGAGTCTGGGTTCTTCCTTTGTTTCCTATGGGAGTCTTCAACAAGCCATGTGATGAGTACACCATCTCTGAGAGTTAAGATTAGTGTTTCCTGGGCTCAGTTTCATGGTCCTGCTTCTGGTTAGCTCTCTAAACAAGTTCCTTTACTCATTTGTGGTATGCCTGTATCAATTTCTGATCCCATTTTCCCCTCTCACCCTTGCTACGCATCGTTTGGTAAGCTGTATATTTAGTTCTTTGATCAGTCTTTCTGGCTCTCAATCATTTCTGCCTCTCTTTTCTAATGAGCCACAAAGCATATTCAGAGATACTTCCAGCCTGGGAGAAAATAGACTGTACAGAGCTCTCTTCCGATTCCAGGCACTTTAATTCATAGTCCTCCAACAGACAATAGAGTACATCTTACTGATTGCCTAATAAAATGAGGAGAAATTGCTCTCTGAATGTGCTATAATTGGATCATGTCTTTGCTCACATGGCATTCAATAGGGATCCAGGGCGATTTAAGTTTTTCTGTCTCTTTATTAGAATGAAAAAGATATAAACCGTAGTTAGGACATTGGAAACTTGCCACTCCTGCGATGAGTGGTAGAACTATCAATTCAGATTCCACATTTATGGGATCCTTTTACATGTCAGTTGGGGCACTTGGTGTTCTCACAGATACTATCTGACTATATAGCAATCTCAGTTTTTCAAAGAACAGCTATGAACCCAGGAATTTGAAATTTAAAAAAAAGCTATGAAAGCTTAAGTCCATGTATTAAAATTATCATAGGATACCATTCAGAACCAATAATAAAATAAATGTAGCAGGCATCATTTGCTGCGTTTTTATGTATTAGGTGCTGTAAACAATTTATGATTGTTGACCTTTACAACAACTGCATGAGGTATGTATAAATATCCCCATTGTATAGATGAGGAAAACAGGTACTCAGAGCTATTAGGTACCTTTCCCAAGGGTGCACATTGTACTTGACAGAAGTAGAAATTGAATCTTTATCTGACTAAAGTTTGTTTTCTTTTCAGTACAGTATTCTGCCTCCATCAACCCTTACCTTCTATAGAAATCTAAGAAGTTTAGAGAAATTGATTACCTGGTTTTATAATGTAAAACATATTAGAAATGGCAAAATTGAAAGAGCTGAGAGACTTCTAGAGTGCAAAAACTTAGAATTGAAAATTTAGGAGAATAGAAAACTATTAAAAAAAAACACATTTCGGGAAGACTGGGTTGCTCAGTCAGTTAAGTGACCAACTCTTGATTGTGGCTCAGATCATGATCTCAGGATCATGAGATCAAACCTTGCGTCAGACTCTGCACTGACCGTGGAGCCTGCTTAACATTCTCTCTCCCTCTTTCTTTGCCCCTCCCCTGCTCTCCTTGCTCTCTGTCTCTCTCTGCCTCTCTCTGTCTCTCTCTCTCTCAAAAACAAAAACAAACAAACAACAACAGAAAATAACAACAACAAAAAACTCCTGCCCCCCACCAAATGAATAATCTGGGGAAATTTGATGAAGAGAAAAATAATTCTGTATGTCCCCGAATAATTTCTGAAGTTATTACTGGATTATGTTATTACATAGGGTTAAGTTATATTCATTCTATTCTGTAAAAGTGCTGAGAAAATTTCCCAGAGAATTTTAGAGATAGAAGGGACATTTATGGATCATGATGTCAAGCTGACTTTACAGATATAAATAATTGAAGTCCATGAGGTTTTAGAGTTGACTTTGACAAGTCCTGGTCACTGGCAGAGCTAAGCAAAGACCTCAGTTTTCCTAACTCATGGCTCAGGAGGCTGACAATTCCTCCTTGCTTCTGCTCCTAAGAACACTTTGTAACATTTCCTAGGAAGCCTCTCCTAAATATGGATAAAGAAAATAAATCTCTTTGTTTGACATTGTTAAAGTAGATGTCTAGCTTTTTCTTATCTATTACATAAATTACTACTTTTTTTTAAGTTTATTTATTTATTTTGAGAGATAAAGCACAAGCTGGGGAGGGGCAAAGGGAGAGTGAGAGAGAGAGAGTCCCAAGCAGGCTCCATGCTCAGCTCAGAACCCAATGTGGGGCTTGATCCTATGAACATGGTATCATGACCTGAGCCAAAATCAAGAGTCAGAAGCTTAATCGACTGAGCCACCCAGGTGCCCCTCAATCCCTCCTTTTTGTACAATAAATCAGATATTAGACAAATGCTTGCTTAAAAGATGATCATGGTCTCCTTAGACAAAGAAATAAGACAACAGAGAAAGTCAAGTATGGTAGAAAAAATGTTCAAAGTAAAATGGGAACCCAGAAGACCTCTAATGTAGTTGGGATTTAGAAATAATCCAGCATAGTTTCCAAGATAGGTGTTCTTGAGTTCAGTCTTAATGGACCCCTGGGAGCCAGCCTGGCAGATGAAGGAGGAAATGGCATTCCATTTCAGGCAAAGAAATGTAATCTATCATCACATGGAGTCTGTAGAGAAATATCAGATAGCTTCATTTATTAGGTAGTAGTCAACAAACTACAGACAGCCTATCTAATCCAGCCTACTATTGTTTTTAAATAAAGTTTTATTGGAAGACAGATATGTTCATTTGTTTACATGGTGTGTTTGGCTACTTTTGTACTACAATGACAGAGTTAAATAGTTGCTGCAGAGACCATATGGGCTTGTAAAACCTAAAATATTTATCATCTGATGATTTATAGGAAAAAATTGCAGAACCTTGGATTACAGTACATGGAAGCAGAGTGGCAGATTATATCCTGATGGCCCATGGGCTTCATCTGATTGCCATGTTTTATTTGGTCTGAACACTGTCCTTTTGTTTATTTAAAAGAAAACATGAAATGCTGTCAACATTTAAAAATTAAGAAATTTCACATAAAAATCCAGATTCCTTGCTTCTCTTGAAAAATCAGAAATGCTAACAATTCTGGACCTACTTGTCTGCATGACAAGAATTAGAGCTGAGTAGGAGCAGCTCCATTCAAATGGCCTGAGCTCCCCATTTTCCCATTGTCCTTTTACTCCCAGCCTACCTCACTCATCTGTCTACCTCAGCCCTTAGCAATCTAAGTTGACAAAGTCCAGAAGAAGCTAGAGATAAAGGTAGGGGTGATTTAATGAAGATCTAGGAATGCTTTGTTGTAGAGTTTGGACTTGATCCTGATGTGTCAGGGAATCACTGAAGGGTTTGAAATAGCTCAGTGATCTCACAAGATTGGGCTTTTAAAGAACAAGACTCTGATAGAAGCAGGAGAAATGGACTAATAGATCCAAGACAGTGAGGAGTTTAGAGGCGTTTAAGAAGTCTAGGAAAAGATGGAGGAAGGACTTAACTTAGTGTCAGAGGGAAGGTAAAGAATAAATGAATAAATGAATAGGAATATTTGCATGGCAGCCAAGAGCACAACTAGGACTGAAATACAAGTAGTAGATATTAGATTGACAAAAGCTAGCTACTTTTGTTCTTGCTGGAATGGTGTGGGGGGAAAAACATTAAATACTATTTCCTGAACCACTTGGATATTTCCAACAGAGTCTTAAAGTCAGGAAGATGTAGGGCCTACTTTGTGTGGCCTACTGATCAATCTGTATGAAGACAGCTTATGCAACTTTAGGAATGATAAATGTTGAAGTGGGGCAGAGAAGCTCTGGAAGAGACTATAAAAAGCATGAGGTCAATGGCCATGGCCTTGCATAATAGGTAGAGGCAGAACATCAGGGTGATTGTAGGGAGAAATAACTTTGTTGAGAGCCTTGGGGTCCAATGTGCATCCTGGATTTGGAAGGTCTGGTATATCGATATATAAAGCTCACAAGGGCTCAAAGACAGTACTGAATCCACATGCATCCTCCCACTCTTTCATAAATCTGTCTCCATATTGGTGTTTCTGATGGTGGGAGAGAGGCTGCCTCAGGACCAACCTGGCACTGTAACAGGAGACATACCCATCTTAACAGCCTCCCTGAATCACTTCTTGTCTGCTGGAAAGACCCTTATGAGCCTTCCAATAAAGATCTATTCCCATATAATAGTAAGGAGTATCACTATAAGAACTGAAATGCTATTATCACTTATATATGGAAAGATAATCTCAAAACAATTATGTGACAGAAAAAAAAAACAAATCGAATTTCCTAGAGATTTTGGACTAATGTTCTTTAAATGGAGAATGAAAGACATGGAGGTTTTAGGCCATTTCTCTGACGAAAAGAGAAATGGCAGTTTTCAAAGGGACTCATACCACACTACCCTACATTTTGAAAAGTATGATAGCTTCTCCGATGAAGTCCATCGTAACAGTGAAAAGAATCTTTACAGGAGGGAAAGGATTTTTCTTCAACAACCCACAAACCTCTATCTAGTTCATTCATCAGAGTTGTTGAGGCAATTTTCTAAGCCCTATATTTTATTAATATTATAGAGAGATGTTGAAGAATGCCCACAAGGAGTAACTGAAAGACAAGAGGAAAAGTAAGGAAATTAAAAAGGAAACCTAGAAAATGTTGTCACTGTAAAGATTATGGTTTCTGAAGCAAAGTCTCAGACAATACTCAGTATTTGAGAGAACTTGTGATAAATGCTCTCAGGAGAGTAATTTTGTTTGTGTATGAAGAAAAAAGAAAGAAAACACATTTCCAAACAGTAACTAATATTTGGAAAGGAAGCTTACTTGAAGCAAACCAGAACCATTATGCTTGGTCTGATGAAAACGGGATTTTCAAATTAGCAAAAATTTGCATTTTATACATAATGCACACACATTTTCCATGCACAGTATTCAAATATTAAAACTTTTACAGAATCTTTTATTTAGTGTAATGCATGTATACAATATTTTGCATTGCCCCAGATAAAAATTCATCTCGTGGTGTCATGCTGTGTCAATCCTGAGGAAAGGCATACAAATCCTTATTTTACCAGGACAATAGCTTTGGGTAAGAGGATAAACTACTTCTCCTTAATCTCTACCACCCTCCAGCTGACTCCAGGGGCTACACCCATGGCCAGAGGCTTGGGGAAGAACTGAGGTGAAACACTTCTAAGAATGATCTTCTCTTTCCCAGTATCTCAGCAACCTCTGGTCCCATTAATAGAAGAAGCCAAATAATAAATAGCATTTTCATGGTATTTCACTGTTAACAAGGAGCCCATCTCATTAAGTTTTCACAAAAGTTGCACCTATATTTTGTGGATGACAGCAATGCAGGCCAAATAAGTCAAGTAACTTGTCTAGGATCATTAGGGAGGGGCAGTGGTGGGGCTTCAACCCAGGAAGTCTTTGGGCCACCTTATGCTCATCCCACTGAACCCCCTGCCATAGCTGTGAAACCCTTCTTCTCAGTGGTTCCTGGGTCTAGAATCTGGAAGTCATGACATAATCCTTTGGTTCATTTGCACAGGGATCCTTCTCTTGTAAGGTCTCTTTCTTTAGACAT